GCATATCCATAACTCAACAAGTAACATTCAAGATGAGGAGGATGTTATATCTGCAAAAGCTTTGGGAATGAGTCGTTTATTATCCTCGATCGTGGTTCAGAAGCCAGCATTCAAGTTGCTGAGAACAAATGAGAATTTAACATCTGTCGTGGGCACTTTAATGCAAGTTAAAGCAGGGTTAGGAGAGTCTTCTTGCATTCCATCAATAGTTTCTCTTCCTATTGCTATTCAGGTTGAACACCACTACGATCTTGGGAATGGTTTGGGACTGGACACCAGAAAAGGACAATAATAACCGAGTTTGCTGAATTATTTTCTTCTCTAGTCTTGGTCATTCCAAGTAGCGAGACTTGGATTCCTCGGTCTCAGGCTGTTGTTGTGATGGAGAAACTTGCTCTACTTGAAGCTGATCCTTTTGATGTTGAGTCTCAAGAGACAATTAAAGTTGGCATTTGCCAGAAAGACGTTAATAAAATTTGGGCAACATCGTCAGAGTACAATAGTGAAGCTTTTGTCGGTGTGGAAAGGTTGTTTGATTCAGAGTTTCATGGTGCCTTGACTGACATGTCAAGCAAGGCTGGATATTTGTATGAAGAGGGCAGCAGAGCTGCAGAACTTTTTGCTTGGCGGCTTCAATGGACTTGGGGGTGAATCGCAGCTGGGATTCTGAAGATCAGGTCTTCCCTACATGCTATGGTGTTTGTGTAGTATCTCGTGGCAGACGATGGTGTCCTTTCTTTAAGGAACCGTACAAGGAGGCCTTGGTAGCTGGTATTAGAGATGATTGTAAGGGAACAAAGATGATTGTTGGAGATAGTGGGTTGTTCAATCAGGATTTTTGTGCTTTGAAATTGTTAAGAGAATTGCTCCAGTTAGTGGGGAAAGTTAATCCAAGCACTATAGTGGGATTGACTTATGTTTGTCTACATTTGATCATTTGCAGCTTGACTATAGTATCATCATGTTGCTCTAGCTATTTGTATGGTCAATTTCGAGTTCGAAGGGTGCTGCAGAGTTCCATATTCCACAGTTTGCGGCCTTGCTTTCCTATTGTTGTAGCCAGAATATTTCTTGGATGGGGACCATGTTCCACTGAGTTCTTTGTTGATTTGTATATTTTAATTGTTTTTTCAGCCTTGAGGACAAGTCTGTTCTCAAGGGATCGGGATTGTAACAATTAGGATCGGTTTGTAAAAAATGTTAGTTGGGGTATGATATGTAATTAGCCCTTGACTATAGAGGGGAATTGTGTTGTAAAGAAGATTATCAAATATAAGAATAGAATCTACTTTCTTCTTCCTTCCTCCTCTCCGTTACTCCTTTTCTTCTTCCCCTGTTCAACCTCTTCTCAATCCCTTCTCCCCTATCGTCGAGAATTGATCCATCAAAGCCGAACGTTACAAATTGGTATCAGAGCCTCTTCTTGGCAAAATGACAACCGCACAGATTGACGAACAACTCCATCTCTTCTCCAATCAGACTATTGCTGCAGAATCACCGATTAGAGTTCGGGTAGCTTCTTTGGAAGAGCAATGAGCGCAACATACCAATCAGTTACAGGAATTGGTTTCTCGCTTCGACGACCACACAAAAGAATTCGCAACTCTTAACACAAGATTGGACAAAATGGAAGCTCAATTTGAAGCTCGCTTTGAGTAATTCGGTCAGATACAAAGAAACGTTCAAGAGATATTACGAAGGATGGATCTCGGTCCAAACCATCTAGAGATTACCATTGTCGGTGCGATGGAGCCTTTGGTGGTCCTGAAGGTTGTTCACGAGAAGCATCCACGACCTGCTCGACGAAATGATGAGCGGAACAAGAGCTGGCCTTCGATGAATGGAGTTTCAACTTCCGTGACGCCGGGGGAACCATCAACCACTTTGTCTTTGGTGATACCTTCTGCCGTCGTTTCACCGTAGAGTAACTTTCCCCTTAATGAATGTCCCTCCTTCAATGGCAATAATCCTAGAGCTTGGATTAGAAAGTGTGAGGATTTGTTTGCTGAGTATGGAATTCCGGATTCACAGAAGGTCAGTATAGTTGCAGATTATTTGGAATATCGCCCGGACATTTGGTTCGAGGGATGGAAATATGGTCGTAAAGAACTAGTGTGTGGTAAGTTTGTAGCTGCACTATGTAGCCATTTTAGTGAAGGATCATATAGTGGAACACTGGGTGAATTCAATAAATTAAGGCAAGGAGGTTCATTGTTGGATTACCTAGAAAAGTTTGAAGAACTAAGATCTAGGTTGGTTAGATATAATTGTATTTTAGATGAAGAGTATCCCATTTCGAGCTTTATCAATGAATTAAAGTAGGAGCTACGGTTAGTTATGTCCATGTTGCAACCCCAAATATTAGCTAAAGCTTATCAGCAAGCTCGATTGGAAGAAGATTCCATCGAGGCCTGCAAAAGGAAGAAGCAATTGCATCTTGTTGACTGTTTTAGTTCGGAGGGTGAGACAACGAAAGTGACTGTGGAATGCGCTCTTGAGAAGATCATCTGTGATGCTGGGAATACTGCGAATGGTGACTTAGCTGTTGATACTAGGAGTATTACGGCCAACAACGATGGTGAGTTGAATACAGCAAGACAAGGCATATCCATAACCCAACAAGTAACATTCAGGACGAGGAGGCTGTTCTATCTGCAAAAGCTTTGGGAATGAGACGTTCATTATCTTCGATTGTGGTTCAGAAGCCAACATTCAAGTTGCCGAGGACAAATGAGAATTTAACATCTGTTGTAGGCACTTTACCGCAAGTCAAAGCAGGGTTCGGAGAGTCTTCTTGCAATCCATCAACAGTTTCTCTTCCTAGTGCTGGTCAGGTCGAGCACCACTACGATCTTGGGAATGGTTTGGGACTGGACACCAAGAAAGGTACAATAATAACTGAGTTTGCTAAATCATTTTCTTCTCTAGTATTGGTCATTCCAAGTAGCAAGACTTGTATTCCTCAGTCTCAGGCTGTTGTTGTGATGGAGAAACTTGCTATACTTGAAGCTGATCCTTTTGAAGTTGGCATTCGCCAGAATGACGTTAATAAAATTTAGGCAGCATCGTTGGAGTACAATAGTCAAGCTTTTGTCGGTGTGGAAAGGTGGTTTGATTCAGAGTTTTATGGTGCCTGGACTGATATGTCAAGCATGGCTGGATATTTGTATGAAGAGGGCAGCAGAGCTGCAGAACGTTTTGCTTGGCGACTTCAATGGACTTGGGAGGTGAATCGCAGTTGGGGTTCTGAATATCAGGTCTTTCCTACCTACTATGGTGTTTGTGTAGTATCTCGTGGTAGACGATGATGTCCCTGCTTTAAGGAACCGTACAAGGAGGCCTTGGTAGCTTGTATTATAGATGGCTGTAAGGGAACAAAGATGATTGTTGGAGATGGTGGGCTGTTCTATCAGGATTTTTGTGCTTTGAAATTGTTAAGAGAATTGTTGCAGTCAGTGGAGAAAGTTAATCCAAGCACTATAGTGGGATTGACTCAGGTTTGTTCTCCATTTGATCATTTGCAGCTTGACTATAGCATCATGATGTTGCTCTAGTTGTTTGTATGGCCAATTCCGAGTTCGAAGGGTGTTGTAGAGTTCCAGATTTCACAGTTTGCAACCATGCTTTCCTATTGCTGTAGCCGGAATATTGCTTGGATGTGGATCATGTTCCACTCAGTTCATTGTTGATTTGTATGTTTTAATTGTTTTTTCAGCCTTGAGGACAAGTCTGTTCTGAAGGGATCGGGATTGTAACAATTATGATTGGTTTGTTGAAAAATATTAGTTGGGATGTGATATGTAATAAGCCCTTGACTATATAAAGGGGAATTGTGTTGTAAAGGAGATTTTTCGAATATCAGTATACAGAACTACTTTCTTCTTCCTTCGTTTCCCTCTTCTCCTTCTTCCTACTCTCTGCTACTATTTTTCCTTCTTCCCCTGTTCAATCTCTTCTCAATCCCTTCTCCCTTATCGTCGAGAATCGATCCATCAAAGCTGAACGTTACATTATCCCAAATTGCAAACTTTGTCATCCAACAAATAGAAACTTGAAGATCTGTTGGTGATCGACGGCTTGGTGGATGGTGCCGCTGGCGAATCGGGGATGAGGGTGTAGGGGAATGTGGGGAAGAAGGAACGTGAAGGTGTTTGAACTTTAGAGAGGAGGTCCACCGTACTAGAGAAGGTTAGGGTTTTTAGGGATGTTTTCTTTGTTCTTTCTTATTAATGAAGGTATTTTAGTAGATTACATTTTTAAGATAGGGCGATAATAGTAAAAGTAGGGCGATGTTTAGCCATCTAGTAAATTATAAGCCCAAGTGCTCAACCCCATGCATCCGTCATACTTTCTTCAACCTTCTGTCCCCTTTCGGGCGGGCACTGTAATAAGTAATAACCTCTGTTCTTAGAATCGGATCGGAGGTTGAACCAGAAAAGTTGGTGGTTTAGGGTTTGATGATTAACCATTACAAAATCGTTGGTTAACCAATGATAGAATCGTTCATGATATATAACATATAAGACTTTTATATTACACTAATTTAAGAATGAAATTATCATTGACCATAAATAATTTCAAATTCATATCATCACCAAACTATTTAATCAAACATTCAAACCGTCTCACAAAATAAATCATAATTTTTTTAATTAAAATTAAATATTACAGTTTCGGTTGGTAGTGGACAACATAAAATTTACAATAAAGTTCGAAAATGAGAAGAAGAAGCAGATATAAAATTAATAATTATGGTTTGATGGTCATAACGTTAAAGTATTTTTTTTAAAAAAAACTTATGGGTAATAGTGAACTAGTGGACCAGTTAAATGTTGGTAGTTCATCTGGTTTTATGTTGTACCGTGAAAAATCATTTGGTCCATCCAAACAATAAATCGGTTCGCTATCGTAACTGGGTTGGTGATTTTACTGGTCCAACCGTTGAACTATTTCGGTTGTTATAACAAATGGGAATATATTGTATTTACCCTAACTAATAACTACTAACTACTAGTCTACTACACTGACCTGAAACAGCAACAAAACCCCTAACGCCTAAACCCTGAAACAGGCCCTCTCTTCCCTCCTTCCCTCAGCTGCATTCGCCAGCCAAATCGCCATGGCGAAGACTCAGAATAAAGCTCACAAGAATGGGTGCCAGAAGAAGAAGAGCAACAAGAGTAAAAGGAACGGTCCAACTGCGGTCGCCATGAAACAGAAGGCTCCGGCGGCGGACAATCCTTTCGAGACGATTTGGTCCCTCCGCAAATTCGACATCCTCGGCCGGAAGCGCAAGGGCGAAGAGCGCCGAGTCGGCCTCTCCCGCTCCAAGGCCATCGACAAGAGGAAGAAGACGCTATTGAAGGATTACGAGCGGAGCACCAAGTCGTCTGTGTTCGTCGACAACCGGATTGGGGAGGACAACGATGATCTTGGCGAGTTTGACAAAGCTGTTATTCGATCTCAGAGGGAGCATAAGGTTCAATTTCTCTTCTGTTGACGTGAAACTAGTGTAAATGTGACGTTCTTAGTCCTTATGGATTGCGGAGGAATGTAAGATATGCTTGCAATTTTATCTTGGTGCTTATGAGTTACTCACTTGAACATTTTTTAGATGAAATTTGGGAAGAAGAGTAAGTACAACTTGTCAGATGGAGAGGAGGATGATTTTGGCACTTCAGCTCTTGGCTCGTTTGGGGAAAGGGATGATTATGAGGATGAAATGCCATTTGATGTTGAAGATGATTATGGAGAACAAGATGGATCAAAAAGTATGTTTCGACTACTTATTGCCAGAAGTAATCTAACTTAATTGCCGTTCTTGTATTTTTTCTATTGGTTCTTACTTATGATCTTGGGAGTAACTCATTGAAAATAGTCTTACTAACCTAGAAGAGACTTACTTGTGGTACAGTTAAAATTTGGTTAAAGCTCATAAAGGTTGGTCTGTTGTTTGGCTAGAGTTTTGCCCGTGCAGGCCGTGCCTAAAAATCTACCCTTTTCCTGTTACGCAGAGAAGTCAGGCATCTTAAGGCATCTGAATGCTCCAAATGTGGGAGAGGATGGTACTAAAGAAGCAGAAGAAAATGTATGACTGCTCTCAATGAATTACTCTGTGAAGCTTTGTTTCAATCTTTCTAGGATCCCTGATTACTGTTGTGAAATCATACTGAAGATTGTCATTGCCATCTTTATGGCATACTTGCCTAATATTCTTTTGTCTTCCAAGATTATCTTTTGCAGTGGTTGGTTATCTTGATTAGTTTATAAGAATGAATATCCCTTTGCAGATACATAAATCCAAAAAGGAGGTAATGAACGAGATTATTATGAAGAGCAAACATTTTAAGGTACATATCCTCCTTGTCCAATTGAAAGTATCTAATGCTAATGCTTAGCTTATTTTCTGATTTTGTTTGGATATTGTATTTTCTCTTACTAGGCCGAAAAGGCGAAAGAGAAGGAAGAGAATGAAAAGCTTATGGAAGAATTGGATAAGAAGTTCACATCTTTAGAGCAGTCCAAGGTCCTGGCATCTTTGATTGAGCCTGGGAAGATGAGTGCTTTGAAAGCTGCAGTGAATAAGAACATTCCAAAGGACGAAGACACAAACAATAAGTTGACGGCTAAGAAACCGGAAATTTCAAGTCAGGTAATGCTTGATTGCTCGAGGTCCTGATTAACTTGCTTATACTAGGACTAGGTTAAACCATATATTGAAGTCTCCAGCAAGTAAAAAGGAAAAAATAAAAGGAAAAAAATGCAATTAATACAAAAAAAGTTGTTTCTGTTCCTTTACTCAACCATTTTTTGACCCAAACATTTTGAAATATGCTTGACTTTTATATTTTTCATGTAACAGTTGATGTTGTTCTTCGGGTTAGTGAACAATTTGTATTTTGTTTACTTTGATATCATAGTAATTCCAACCAGTTCTTTATTCAGAATTACTAGAAAGCTCTAAATTCCAGTTCTGATCTATTTTTTTTTTGTATGAACTCGTCTTTGTAGGAAGAACCTGATTATTATGATAAGCTTTTCTCTGAGATGGTGTTTGATATTCGTGCTCGCCCATCAGACAGGACTAAGACACCAGAAGAGATTGCCCAGGATGAGAGAGAGCGGCTTGAACGATTAGAGGTATGTTATACCCTGATGAAGTATGTGTGATAGCAAGAGCATGTAAGCAAACTGTTACTTTTCACTCACCATTTTGAATGTTGAGTCATGTACTTCTTAGCAGTGAAGATCCATAATTGCAGCATAGCTACAGCTTGTGTTTTCTTTATTTCTACTGAGGCGAGACAAGGTTCATTATTCTTCTGAACAGCTTGAATCACAGTCAATCTGGTATCATCCCAAAGACATATCTTTCTTACCTTTTCCTCCTCTGGCGAACCAATCATGGTAGGAAAAGCTAGAAGATAAGAATTTTTCTGCACAATCTTACCTGAAGCCCAAACATGGAAGTGGAAAGATTCCGAAATTTGTTTCTGCCACAGTTTGATTAACTTTTAGCTTGTATTTCTTCATAGTATCAAGAAGATTTTAGGAGCTTCGTGCACTTGGGCCTTGGTCTTTTGCTTATGAAGTTGAGTACTAGTGAAGTATAAAATGTGTGGAAACTTTTGAAATCTTGCTATAGTTAATAGTAAGAGAGATAGGTATTAGTTGCATATATGATGTAATACCTTCTTTCCTTGTAATAGAAAGTACTTTGGTAGAGCCCCACTGTACCTGAAGTATACTTTAGCTTTTCAGCTTAGTGATCTAACAATGTAGCTCACTAGCTTGTAGTTTGACCACTCGTATTCTTGTTCCACCTGATGATTTCAGGAGGAGAGGCAGAAAAGAATGTCCGCAGTTGAAGATTCCAGTGATGAAGACAATGGTGAGGCTGAAAGACCCTCAAACCAGAGACGCCAATCAGCATCCGGCGATGATCTTGGTGATTCATTTTCTGCCGAAGAGCCTGGAACTAGAAAAGGATGGGTTGATGAGATCATTGAAAGAGAGGAAGCTGAAGAATCAGGGGATGAAGAGGATGACTCTTCTGAGGCGGAGAGTGGGGAAGAAGAAGATGATGATCATGAAAGATCGGAGGAACAAAGTGATGAGGAAGATAATGCACGCGACAAGGCCCAGTCTCTGAAGGATTGGGAACAGAGTGATGATGAGAATCTCGATACAGATTTGGATGATGATGATGATGAAGAGAAAATCGATGATGCAAAGGAACTTACCGAGCCAATTGGCCAGAAAAGGTCAAAGAAAAATGCTGTGACTGTGGCTGCCAAAGTTAATGATGAAACTCAGAATGCTAAGAAAATCAAAATAACCAGTGAACAAGACCTTCCATTCTTGATTGAAGCCCCCAAGAGCATCGAAGAACTGTGTGCCTTGGTGGACAAACGTTCTAATAATGACATCATTGTTGTAGTCAATCGAATTCGAGCAAGCAATGCAATAAAGCTCGCTGCAGAAAACAGGAAGAAAATGCAGGTATGGAGGTTTATTATATAGGCAGCTGACGGTAAATACACATTCTTTAATGATTGGGAAGTGTTTGACTGATGGCCACTGCTGATTCTACAGTCTCTAGGATGGTTTATATAATAAGTTTGGAAGGGGTGATAGTCAAAATAGAACATGGTTTAGGTTGCTTATTAAAAAGAATGATTTCATTTGGATATCGTAACTCTGATTTCCTGAAGTCAGTGCTCTTGTTTTGTTCTTTCCAAGATAAAATATAATGAGGTGGCATCTTTAGTTCACAAATTAGGCTGCTCTTTAGAAGGCGTACAAGATAGTAGGCAGGTGCTTTTGTGTTCACTTCCCAGTAAGGGTGGCTATCTTCACTTTTGTGGCCGTAAATGAATTGATCAAGCTTAGTTATGGTTCTTGATTCCCGTACAGCTAATGAGATACAGTTTATGTTGTAATATTTCTACTACAGTTGATAGACTATCAGTCTTACTAATACGTATTTGCTCTTTTCAAGGTATTCTATGGTGTGCTGTTGCAGTACTTCGCAGTTCTAGCCAATAAAAAGCCTTTGAACTTCGAGTTGTTGAATTTGCTTGTCAAGCCCCTAATGGAGATGAGCTCAGAGATTCCCTATTTCTCTGCAATCTGTGCTCGTCAGCGTATTTTGAAAACTAGATTGCAGTTTTGTGAGTCGATAAAGACTCAAGGTTGGTTGTGAACTTGAATACGAGAGTGGTTAGTTTATGTAGATTGTGTCTAGAATTGCCTTTTGGTTTAACTGGATCCATTTCTTCTTCTTGCAGAAGGGAGTTGTTGGCCATCTTTGAAAACATTGTCACTGTTGAGGTTGTGGTCCATGATTTTTCCATGCTCAGACTTCCGTCATGTCGTCATGACCCCAGCAATTTTGCTCATGTGTGAATATTTGATGCGTTGCCCCATCTCATCTGGTCGTGATATTGCTGTTGGCTCTTTCTTATGCTCCATGGTTCTCTCTGTATGTATACTTGATCCATCTTTGTTTTTTGTATTGTATGATTGCTTTCTACTGCTGGTGTGTCACTTGTTGTTCTCAACTTAAGTTAATTTATCATGTTACATTAGAGACTTTAAGGCACTATCTTCAACTAATAAATATATGTTACAGATCACTCGAGATTCTCGGAAGTTATGCCCTGAGGCAATAATTTTTTTACGGACCCTGCTTATGGCAGCCAGCCAAAGATTGCCAGACTCTCATCAAGAATCTCAGGTATAAACTGGTTTGATTGTTAGTTTTTGGTAACTGATACATAATCATTAAGAGGTGGTATTAGACAGGAGAATTGTTTTCCCAATTCTTTCTGCTGATATAATGTGAAAAATCACTTGTTTACTTTAGTGGAAGATTTCTAGCATTCTATTAACTGGATATTTGTAATTTTATTTGCTGAAAGAAAGTGGAATTCCAAATTTCTCAATTATCAGATATTTTGTGCTCTGTCTTTGGGAATACAAAAAAGAATGAAGGACAACACAAACACAAAACAAAGAGGGTACATTTTCACATTCCCCAATTTAACAATTTTCTCAGACTTAAGACCATACATCCAAACAACCTAATCTCCAATTCAACCTAATACCACAATATCATCTATTACCAAATCCTTCCGTCACCCGCATACTAAGAAATTTCACCTCCAAAAGACCCAAATACGATTTTTCTTTGGTTTGCATAAATAATGGGTGCCTTCAAATTCCTGTGCACTAGTTGGCATTGTCGTAGTATGCTTTGCTGCTGTTTTACTTGAATGGCCTAAGCATCAACTAAACTATGCTTGTGGTTTTTTGTTGGTTTGTTTCAGTTTCATCCCATCAGAGAGTTGAAGGAAGTTAGGCCTCTTCTAAATATACGTGATGATGTGCCCGAGATTAGCCCTCTTAATTTCCTTTCAGTTATGGATATGCCTGAAGAGTCGTCACTTTTTGCCTCAGACAATTTCAGGTACAGAGAAATGTCATCTTCCTCAACCCCAACTTCATTGAGAAATTGCTGTTTCTGGATTATCGAGTCCTACCATTCGTCTGTTTATTTGTAAGGGGCAAAGTTTCGGGTAAAATGCTTAGTCAAGAGGCACGGATGATTCTAAGCTTTCAGTTAGAATTAACTGACTGCTAAAGTGACATCAATATCCGTTGTGCAGGGCACGTGTGCTGATCAGTGTGATAGAAAATCTGAAGGGATTTGTTGAAATTTACGGAGGGCTCAGTTCTTTCCCTGAAACCTTCCTACCTATTTCTACACTATTGATAGGGTTGGCAGAACAGGAAAACATGCCACCTACATTGCAGGAGAAATTTAGAGAAGTTGCTCTCCTCATCAAGCAGAAAGCCGATGCACTCCATCTCCTGCGTCAACCACTACAGATGCGGAAGCAGAAGCCAATCCCCATCAAATTACTTTCCCCAAAATTTGAAGAGAAGTATATTAGCCACCTCCATTTAATCGCTTCACAATTTCTGTTGCTTCTTGAAACCAGTTTAAAGAGTGCAAACATTAAACACTATCTTTTCTTCTTGTATTCTATTCTGCGTGCAGCTATGTGAAAGGTAGAGACTATGACCCAGATCGAGAGAGGGTAGAGAGGAAGAAGTTGAAGAAACAACTAAGAGAGGAAGCGAAAGGAGCGGCTCGTGAATTGCGCAAGGACAACTATTTCTTGCTGGATGTGAAGGCACGAGAGAGGGCTCTGAGGGAGGAAGAAAAGATGGAGGCACACGGTAAGGCAAAGGCGTTCCTTCAAGAACAGGAGAGTGCTTTCAAATCTGGTCAGTTAGGAAAAGGCAGGAAGCGCAGACGATGAGAATTGGTGAGGATCTTGATACCCTACTTGAAACATTTCTGCTGCTTTCTAGTTGTTATGTAATTCAATTTCCCCTACAAGGCAGCTACTAGAGTCGTGTGAAACATGATAGGAATCCAAATTTTGGCCCCGTCTGTAGTAGTTTATGCAGTTTATTCTTTGTTCTGCACAGTGGAACCGAGAGAGCAGTATGATATGAATGTGAAATGAGGCAAACTTTGGAATGCATATTACTATGGCAGCATTTTGAGCATCATTTAGAACAGAACGAGGCAGCACTAGCAGAGGCCAAATCGATTACAGATGGAAGTCATAAAAGGGGAGGGCTCTCTTATTCAGTACAACAAGATCAACTTCTCATCACCTTCTTCTCCATCTACTTGTTGCGAAGATCACGGAAGTACCCGGAAGGGTTCTTCTCGAAATTAGCCCTGAACATGCGGGAGTCTCTTCCTGGTGCTTTCATGGTCTTGCCGCTGGAGCCTGAAAAGAGGGAAGCTATCCCATAAGCTACAGCTGCTACCCCGGCCACAGCACCAACCACCAGAGTTATGATGCTGGTATCCTGATCTTTTCCAGACATCTTTGATTCCTCGCAGCCGTGTTTGGTTTTCTGCAAGTGTTGGCTCTCTCACTCTCTTATGAAAACTTAATTATCTGATAGTCGTTGAAGGGATCGTGGAAGTTTAGAGTGGGTTAGGTTGCTCTTTATACTGCAACTTCAGCTGTGTTTCTGTAGTTAGTGGGTCCGCAATTGCATGGAAACTTCTTGGCCAAGTAGATTCCTCTGTAAGTTCCCTGAAGAGCTTTTTGGAAAGTTGCTCCTAACTTTTCCAGAAACTTTGCCTCTTTGTTATAATTGTTTTTCTTCTTTGATTTAAATACAGCGACCATAGAGGCATAGACAGAGGTCAATTAATAATATTATTTTCCCCAAATCCAGAGCGGTACAAGTTTATAGCAAATCCATCATAATTATATCATCAAATCTATAATGCAAACAATAGACTCTTCAAATCCACGATGGTACAAATCCCTCATAAATTCAAAAGTTTTTTTGAGCAAAAACCCTCATTTTTCAAATCCAACAAGCAAACGACCCCTAAGTTACGTATAAAATATATACAAGTATGTTATAAAACTAATGGAAATGTAAACAACTACAAGAGAAGATTAGAGAGGGAAAGATACAAGAGAAGTGAGGGGAATAGTTCTTCTTATTCATGCTCCATTTGTGATACAATAGTGTGCTCTATTTATAGGCACCCTTTGGTAACCATTACATCCTTACATCAATGCATATGAATTAGAGATAATAATATTGGAATGAGAGTTACATGTAACTCCCAAGTGAGCATCTAATGTGGTAGGCCATTGGTCATCCAAATATAAATATTTACATAATACTCCCCCTTGGATGACCACTAGATTGCATTATTACGCTATCTCATGCTGACTCATTAAAAACCTTACCAGGAAAATCCAGTGGGAAAAACCATGGTTAAGGGTAAAAGAGTGCAGCGCGTATATGCTCCCCCTCATGACCACATCAGCTCAGGTCTTTGAGTCGTCGAACTCCAATTTCACGAACAAGCTTTACAAAGATTGTCGTCGGGAGTGACTTGGTGAATAAATTTGCTAGATTCTCACTTGAACGAACTTTTTGAACAATTATTTCACCACTCTTTTGAAGATCATGAGTGAAAAAGAACTTGGGTGGAATATGTTTTGTTCTATCTCCTTTAATATATCCTTCCTTTAATTGAGCAATGCATGCAGCATTATCTTCATACATGATCGTCGGGATCATTTTTCCTATAGATAGTCCACACGATTCTCTGATGTGTCGAATTATAGATCTTAACCAAACACATTCACGACTTGCCTCGTGAATTGCTAGGATTTCAGCATGATTGGATGATGTAGCTGTTATAGTTTGTTTTGTGGATCGCCACGAAATGGCTGTACCACCACAAGTGAACCAATATCCTGTATGAGAACTACCATTGTGGGGATCTGAGAGATATCCTGCATCTGCATATCCCACTAAATCCAATGTATGTCGTTCCTCGAAGGTAACGGAGTAAATGTTTAACTCCATTCCAATGTCTTTTAGTGGGAGAAGAGCTATATCTTGCAAACGATATATCAGGTCGTGTATGACTGGCTAGATACATTAATGCTCCTATCGCACTAAGATATGGCACTTCAGAGCCAAGTAGATCTTCATCACTTTCTCGAGGTCGAAATGGATCTCTTTTCACATCAAGTGATCTTACAACCATTGGATTACTCAACGGGTGTGATTTGTCCATATAAAATCGCTTAAGCACCTTTTCAACATATCCTTCTTGATGCACAAAAATACCATCCTTCAAATGTTCAATCTGTAATCCAAGACAAAACTTTGTTCTTCCTAAATCTTTCATTTCAAACTCTTTCTTCAAGCAATCAACTGCTTTTGGAAGCTCTTCGGGAGTTCCGATGATGTTTATGTCATCAACATAAACTGATATTATAACAAACTCACTACCCGATCTCTTTAAAAAAACACATGGACAAATAGGGTCATTCTTGTATCCTTCTTTCATCAAATATTCACTGAGACGATTGTACCACATTCGTCCAGATTGTTTCAATCTATACAAGGATTTGTTCAATTTGATAAAATTTTTTTCTCGAGAATGTGTTTTGTTTGCTTCTGGCAAAGTGAACCCTTCAGGGAGTTTCATATATATATATATCATTCTCAAGTGATCCATACAAATAGGCTGTCACAACATCCATTAGACGCAGATCTAGTCCTTCTCGAACTGCTAGACTAATCAAGTATCGAAACGTAGTTGCATCCACCACAGGGGAGTATGTCTCCTCATAATCAATGCCAGGTCTATGTGAGAATCCTTGTGCGACAAGACGTGCTTTATATCTCACGACTTCACCCTTTTCATTTCTTTTTTCGCACAAAAACCCATTTGTATCCCACTGGCTTTACGTTTTCTGGTGTAAGGACTACCGGTCCAAAAACCTTTCGCTTTGAAAGCGAGTTTAATTCTGCCTCAATGACCTCTTTCCACTTTGGCCAATCATCTCTTGACTTGCATTCATCAATAGATCTTGGTTCATGATCCTCATTTTCATTCATCACACTCAACGCTGCAGCGTAAGCAAAAACATCGTCGACGATTATTTTACTTCGGTTCCAACATTTTCCATCCAAGACATAATTGATTGAGATCTCTTCATTATCAAAAATTTCAGGTACCTGATGTTCTTCGGGAACTACAATCTTAGTTATGCTTGGGGACTCTCCTTGAGCTTTCATATCCTCGATTTGACCAACTTGATTCATAGCTCCTTTTTTTTTCGAGGATTTTTATCCTTGGAACCTACTGGTCTACCACGCTTCATTCGTGGTTTAGATTCATTTGCAATTTCAGATTGTCCAACAGGGACATCAACTTTCACTGGAGTATTTACAGCTGGTATGTGTGACTTTGTCACTCTTTTCTGGTCAGTAAACGAATCCGGCAGTTGGTTTGCTAAACCTTGTAAATGAATTATCTTTTGAACTTCCAGTTCACATTGTCTAGTACGAGGATCAAGGTGAGATAATGATAATTCATTCCAACAAATATCTTTTCTCAGCTGTTTGTTCTCACCCCCTAATGTTGGAAAAACTGATTCGTCAAAATGACAATCAGCAAAACGAGCAGTGAATAAATCTCCCGTCAAGGGTTCTAAGTATTTTATGATTGACGGGGACTCTTATCCAACATAAATTCCCAACCTCCTTTGAGGACCCATCTTAACACGCTGTGGTGGAGCAATAGGGATGTAGACGGCACACCCAAATATTTTTAGATGGGAAATATTAGGTTCATGACCAAAAACCATTTCCAAGGGGGAAATTTCATGATAACTTGTTGGCCTTATGCGAATTAATGTTGCCGCATGTAATATAGCATGTCCCCAACAAGAAATTGGCAAGCTTGTTTTCATAAGCAATGGTCTTGCAATAAGTTGCAAACGCTTAATAAATGATTCTGCAAGGCCATTTTGTGTATGAACATGTGCTACAGGATGTTCAACATCAATCCCAGTGGACATACAGTAGTCATTGAAAGTTTGTGAAGTAAATTCTGGTTTACCACTGCATGTGTTTCAATTGTACTAATAAACGTGTAGTACAACCCAGAAGAAATAGCAGGCAATTTCTCCAATATGTATTTTTTATCGGAGACCATATTTGTTATCATAATATACTCTTTATTCTCTTCTTCCTTTGTCTCAATATGATATCCATTTCGGCGAATATCTTTGTAACTCAATAAATTTCTTTGAGACTTTGAAGAGTACAAGGCTTCATTGATATATAACTTGGTTCCTTCTGGTAACGATACACTAGCTCTTCCGGAGCCTTCAATTAAATTTGTACTTTCAGATATAATACTAACATTTGCTTCTCGCATTTCAAGATGAGAAAAATATTTCTTATCCTTCAAGATTGTATGTGTCGATACACTATCAATAAGACACACATCATGGTTTTTGATCTTGGTGCCAAGCATGGGAATATTCATTCTTCACAAAGATAGAAAGTAAATCAATATAAGAAAATATCTCCAAATAAATATAAAAATAATGACATGATTATAATAGATGAAATTTAACCACATAAGGATTATAAAGAGAAATTATATTAAACTGACACATTAATAGGAAAAACACACTCAAGGAAAACGACAAAGAAAGTGAAATTTCAAATAGGAAACCTAAACTTTTCACTTGTGAACAAAGCGACAACGAAATAGAAATTTCAAATGGAAATGCTAAGTTTTTCACTTGCGAACATTCCCATCACCAATCAGGTGATCTATTTTTCCTTCAGGGTGGGCAAAGAAGTATGACACATCTAGATGAGTAGCATCATATTAGTCTTTTCCTGGATCATCTTCCTCAAAAATACAATTGGTCTCGATCTTCTTCCCTTTCAATGATTCTTGGTAGAGGTTAACCAAGTGTTTTGTCGTACGACAGGTACGAGACCAATGACCTTTTCCACCACAACGGTAACACACATTTTCGACGTGTTTGTTACCATGAACACTTTGTTTCTTGCTTCTTCTACCATCATTTTTTCCACTTCTGGGAAAAAATGAGCTTTTGGAACTTTCACCACGACATTACCACGACCAAGATCTCGGCCACGGTCACGGCCTCGAGCATGAGCATGACCACGCCCACGTCCTTGTCCACGTCCACGTCCACGTATTTTCCCATAAGGATATTGGGTGAACGTCGCCGCATTCGCTTCTGGGAATGGGGCGGCACCAGTAGGACGAGATTGGTGATTTTTCATTAGTAGCTCACTATTTTGTTCAACAACAAGGAGACAAGAAATCAGCTCAGAATATTTCTTGAAACCTTTCTCACGGTATTGCTGCTGCAGGAGCACATTGGATGCATGAAAGGTGGAGAATGTTTTTTCCAACATATCTTCATCAGTAATATTTTCTCCACATAACAGTAGTTGTGAGGTTATTTTGAATAGTTCCGAATTAGAATCAGTCACAGATTTAAAATCTTGTAACCTCAAATGCATCCAATCATAACGAGCCTTAGGAAGAATCACAATTTTTTGGTGGTCATACCGCTCCTTCAAATTAGTCCACAAAATAAGTGGATCTTTGGCCGTAAGATACTCATTCTTCAATCCCTTGTGGAGGTGATGTCGAAGAAAGATCATTGCTTTAGCTTTGTCTTGATCTGATGCTTCATTTCCCTCTTTAATCGTGTCTCCAAGACCGTTGGCAGCTAAATGAATTTCAGCATCTAGCACCCATGATAGGTAATTCTTTCCAGTGACATCAAAAGCCACAAACTCAAGCTTTGAAAGATTCGACATACTATCATAAAAATATACACAAATTAA